GACCCTTTCACAGGGGTCGCCTAAGACCATCGGAAAACACATATATAATTACATATTGTTTTTGTGATTAATCACTATGCTTTAATTATGTTCAATTTGTAACAATGAAAATACATCCTGCATATCAGATATTTACATTACGATTCATAACAGTAGCAAAATTACAGTTATGAAGTAGCAACGAAAATAATTTTATGGTTGGGGGTCACCACAACATGAGGAACTGTATGAAAGGGTCGCGGCATTAGAAAGGTTGAGAACCACTGCTCTATCCCTCTCCCTTCCTCTCTGCAAAAAATCAATAAAATATATATTTTTTTAAAAAAGAAGCCCGCACAGCGATGTTTACAGCATCTTTGTAATCGCCCAAACGTGGAAGCAACCAAGATGCTGTCGAGATGTCCATCCACAGGAGAACAGGTAAACACATGAAATGCTACTTGGCAATTATATACAAGACACTTCCGCCACACACAAGAGTGGGTCTCAGAATTATGTTCAATAAAAGCAGTTCGCACAAAAGAGCATAGACTGTATAATTATATGTAATTTTACAACAAGTAAAACTAATCTATGATGAAAAAAACTTTTTAAGTGTTTGCCTGGAGGGCAGGAACCTGGGGAGGACTGTGAAAGAACTTTCTGGAGTGATGGAGCTATCCTGATAAAGGCTTGACTTACACAGGTGTGCGCACTTATGAACATTCATGGAAGGACCCTGGCTGGTGTGGCTCAATGGGTTGGGCGGCATCCCATGCACCCGAAGGTGGCTGGTTCGATTCCCGGTCAGGGCCCATGCCTGGGTTGCGGACACTTATGAAAATTCATGGAAGGACCCTGGCCGGTGTGGCTCAATGGGTTGGGCGGCAGCCTATGCACCCAAAGGTGGCTGGTTCGATTCCTGGTCAGGGCCCATGCCTGGCTTGATTCCCAGTGGGGAGCGTGTAGGAAGCAGCTTGTCAATATCTTTTTCTCTCTCTCTTTCTCTTCCTCCCTCTCTCTAAAATCAATAAAAATTAAAAATAAAAACATTTAAAAATATATTTTTTAAAAAGCTGATGGAATGAAACACTTAAGATTTGTGCACTTCATTGTAAATTTTATGGACAGGTGGGCAGCTAGGTGTGTGAATGCATGAATGCACATTTAAAATATTTTTTTTAAAAGCTGATGGAACACTTAAGATTTGTGCACGTCATTGTAAATTTTACGGACAGGTGGGCAGCTAGGTGTGTGAATGCATGAATGCCTGTATCTGCGATTTATTTTTTTAAAAATAAGTTGGAGGGGGGCTGAGGAGGCGGGTGGAGTACCTTAAGCATGACATATACACGTAGGCACGCCTATGATGAATCATTTTCCTAGCAAATCTTGAAAGTCTATAAAAGGTCACTGGAAGAATCCAGTAAAATGTTTCACCGTGTCTTGTGGCTTGTAATCTTTTTACAGGCATATAAAAAGAGTTTTATGTCCATGCAATTGCTAAGCCACTGGTTTCATTACAAGAAAGAAACATCAGGGGGGGGAAAAAAAAAAAAAAACCTGTGAGCTCCTAAACTTTGGGGTACAAATAATATTACAATCTGGAAGAGGGAAAGACATAAAGGAAAAAGAGAAAATGGATAATAAAAGATCATTAGGATGCGAAATAGGCACCTGGCTCATGAATTACCTTGAAAGCACAATTTTAAAATATAATTATCTCAATTCATTCCCTCCTGAGGAAATGTACATGTAAAGCCAGTGGTTTCTCCCTGGCCCACTGACAACCTTAAGCCAAGTGGCTTCTGGTGTCCCCATTCGAAGAGGCACAATCCCTTTGTGGGAGGCCAGGCTGGAGAAAAATTTGCAAAGGAAGGGAGAGACATCAAGTAGATGTCGGGTCTTATTGCAGACAACATCAAGGCTGATTAGCTGTGCGGACCAAGCGCCCAACAGGAATCTCTCACCACTGGAAAGTCGGACATTCGGGGCGCTGGCTGCTCGCTCTTCAACCCCACCCCCTCTGCAGCCGGGCGAGGCCGCCTGTGAAGGTGCCAGGGAGGGCGTTACCGTCACAGTGGGAGAGTTCACTGTCATCTTATTCTTTCTCATGGACACCCCAAAAAACTCAAGAACAGTGCAGAAGATGGGCTTGGAAGTTAAAGTACTTTTGTTATTTTGGAATATTTAATAATCTGAGTATATGTGGGAAGCAACATAGCATCTTGCCTTTTAGAGTCAGGCCAAGGTTAGACTGTTGGCTCTGCCATGTGACCTCAGGAGTTACTTAACCAAGCTGACCCTCAGGTTCCCTATGTTCTTATATCCTTACATGTCTCCCTGGGTGTCTGTGAGAATTTTATGCAATTGCACAGGTGAAGCATCTAATACAGCTCCGCAATGCCTTATCCGCATCCCCCAAATCAAAAAATTCCAACAACCAAAGCCTTTTCCTAAATCATCTGTAGGCAAAACCTGACCTGAGGGCATTTAGTCTGCTTTTTAATCCACTTATGTGAGCATTTATGTTTCTCTGCAGAAATATTAATGTTTGATTATATGGAGTTGCCCTAGACCCTCCTGGAGTATTACATAATGTCCGGTATATGCACCCTCTTCACTTTGTAAATCCAAAACATTATGAATTTTCAAAACACACCTTGTCCGAAGAGTTTCAGATATGGGATTATGAACCCATATGACATCCTCACTCTAGTGTTAATTTATGAATTCCCTAGGCCCACTTCATTGCATATCAAGACTGCCTATGTATGGATTTCATTTATGTTAAAAGAGTTTATGTGGCCTGGCCAGTATGGCTCAATGGTTGAGCGTCCACCCATGAATCAAGAGGTCCCAGGTTTGATTCCTGGTCAGGGCACATGCCCGGGTTGCAGGCTCCATCCCCAGTAGGCGTGCAGGAGGTAGCAGATCAATGATTCTCTCTCACGATGTTTCTATCTCTCTAGTCCTTTCCCTTCCTCTCTCTCTAAAACCACAAAGATCTGAGTTGTAGAAGTTGGTGTTTGAAAGTTGTACAAATTAAAGTGAGTCCAGTTACAGGAAAATAAGTAGTTCTCCGTTCACTGCAGGCTGCTTAATTCTTGGGCCTAAGTTGTTCTGAAAGCTGTTACATGTTTATATTCATTTTTAACTACATAAAGAGATGAGTTAATAACAATAAAACCTTAATTAGGTTAAGAGCATACGTAACCAATTCTTTTCAATGTTTCCCAAATGCCAGTTGAGAGGATACCATTAGCATAACCTACCAGAGAAGTATTGGCACCATCTGGTGGTGAAACTGAAAACTGCATGTGTATATGCGCCCCCTCAGCTGTTAGAAATCAGTTCTCAAACTGAAAGAGGTTATTGACCCACAAAAACAGTGTTATTTCCTCAAGTGTTGACTTCATTCCAGACTTCTATAATCAACGCCGCAAAGTCACAATAGCAGACGGATACATTTGTCAAGTTTATGTTAAAAGAAACATAAATGAAAAAAAGAACAATTTTATAAGAATTAAATATATACATATGGTGTCCCCCCAAAATGTATACATACTTTGAATAATTAATTCCAACGAGTTAAATCTGGAAAAAAAAACCATCAAGAAGATCGCCTGGTGCAGAGTAAATGTTCAAACAATGCCAGCCAGCCAAAGGAGCTCTTTAGCAGTTTGCATGGTGATTCTTTGATTATTACGCACAGCGTGAAAGTTTTCTCCTAGTCTGTTGCTTGTTTATGGACATTTATCAGGCAGGAGTCTGTTTATGCAACCAACCCTGTCATTTTTTTTTCTTTTATGGATTTTATTGTAACCTGGCTGTTTATCTTAACATCTTACTGAACTGACCTCTCCCAGTTTCTGAGTTTGTGGTCAGAAGCTTAAGGTTCCTCTTTGGTCTCCTCAGAAATCACTCGTGTTCCTTCCATGGATGACAACCACAGCCACTGCTTTTTCATGTTTCCCCTAATGAACGCGTTCCTTTTGTCCATAAAATGTGGGGAGCCCTTTATCCACTCCAGTGGTTCCAACAATCCCCGCAGGCAGCGACACTGACATCATTCGCACAGTACTTTTCACTGGAATTTTTATCTTGATGTTCCACGATCCTTTATATGCCCTAAGATAGAATCATCTCTAAGGGGTATTGTTATGCTTTGTTCCTTTAAACTTACAACAAACATTATGTGTGGGATATTTTTTATGAACAAAAGATTCTAATGTCTATGGAATATGCATACTCTCTAGGAGAACACAAATGCTGGTAAAAGTGGGAGAATAAGAGAAGACATACTTTCCACGTTAACTTCCTTGTGCCTCTTGAAGTTTGTACTATGATGTTAAACGTAAGTCTATCCTATATAATAAAAGGGACCTTCTCGTCAATCCCACCAAACCTATTCCTGATGTGGCTGGTGGTGTCACTTCCACACTCAGCTCTGCTATGCACTTGGGGGTCATCCTGTCCTTCAAATGCACATCAAGTACCATATGGAAATGGCACCTACTCATTCAACAGCAACCCTACTCACCTCTCACCCACCCACTCATTCAACAGCAACCCTACTCACCTCTCACCCACCCACTCATTCAACAGCAACCCTACTCACCTCTCATCCCCCACTCATTCAACAGCCACCCTACTCACCTCTCACCCCCGACTCATTCAACAGCCACCCTACTCACCTCTCACCCCCGACTCATTCAACAGCCACCCTACTCACCTCTCACCCCCGACTCATTCAACAGCCACCCTACTCACCTCTCACCCCCGACTCATTCAACAGCCACCCTACTCACCTCTCACCCCCGACTCATTCAACAGCCACCCTACTCACCTCTCACCCCCGACTCATTCAACAGCCACCCTACTCACCTCTCACCCCCGACTCATTCAACAGCCACCCTACTCACCTCTCACCCCCGACTCATTCAACAGCCACCCTACTCACCTCTCACCCCCGACTCATTCAACAGCCACCCTACTCACCTCTCACCCCCGACTCATTCAACAGCCACCCTACTCACCTCTCACCCCCGACTCATTCAACAGCCACCCTACTCACCTCTCACCCCCGACTCATTCAACAGCCACCCTACTCACCTCTCACCCCCGACTCATTCAACAGCCACCCTACTCACCTCTCACCCCCGACTCATTCAACAGCCACCCTACTCACCTCTCACCCCCGACTCATTCAACAGCCACCCTACTCACCTCTCACCCCCGACTCATTCAACAGCCACCCTACTCACCTCTCACCCCCGACTCATTCAACAGCCACCCTACTCACCTCTCACCCCCGACTCATTCAACAGCCACCCTACTCACCTCTCACCCCCGACTCATTCAACAGCCACCCTACTCACCTCTCACCCCCGACTCATTCAACAGCCACCCTACTCACCTCTCACCCCCGACTCATTCAACAGCCACCCTACTCACCTCTCACCCCCGACTCATTCAACAGCCACCCTACTCACCTCTCACCCCCGACTCATTCAACAGCCACCCTACTCACCTCTCACCCACCCACTCATTCAACAGCAACCCTACTCACCTCTCACCCCCCACTCATTCAACAGCCACCCTACTCACCTCTCACCCCCCACTCATTCAACAGCAACCCTACTCACCTCTCACCCACCCACTCATTCAACAGCAACCCAAAGCACACACAGTGAGTCCAGCCCTGGACACGGTTGAAAAGATGAAAAGATACTGTCAATAAAATACCCTCACAAAGCTCCATAGCCTGGGGTTCAGAGCAGCCACACCACACGTTTAAACAGGATTTCTTTAAAAACGGATTCCTTAAGCCATTTGCAAGTATTTATTTAGGTAAGAGATCATAAAACACATTTTATAATACACATAAGAAAAAACACATTCAAATGAATAAAAGATAAAATGACAGGAGGTGACAGAATTTAGTGTTTATAAATGAGAACATCAATAACTTTAACAATTTAGAGAAGAAACTTAAAGTGTACTTAAAAGTTTGAGACCATGCTTTACAATATTTTATAACACAAAAATAAAGTGTTAGGCTTTTAAAGAAATACATTACTTAATAGTTTTTCAACAGATTTCATAACGGATTTCTAGACACTGTCATATATGACATGAAAAGTAAAGTCAAGAGCTTTGGCAAGCCAAGTATTAGTCCACAGCAGCTTGTGAAGTTTTCTTTCTTATATAAAAATTCAATTTACATTTGTTCTTGTTACAGGAACAGAAAAAAACTAACATGCCAAGTATATCTGAGGAGTCTGTTAGCTATAAAGCAAAAATAATTACTTCTGAAAGCTACATTTTAGGAAAATGTGTACCAGGCAGCATCTTCAGAAACAGCAAATGTAAACCATGTGATTATTAAGTCTTCTAAATAAACATCTTACCCCCAAATCTCACACAATATCCCCTAAGTCCGCATCTCCTGTTCGGAGAAGCCTCAGCTTAAATGTCCATTTGCTCTTTGAGAAAGCCCTTGCCTCCATTACTAAAAATGTTCCGTAAAGTCCCTAAGAAATGTCTTCAGTGCGACAGTAACAAGATATATCCAATAGAGGCCCACAACCCACAGGAAGACGTATGAGGCTAAAGAGTGACTCTAACTCCCAAAGACCCCTCTGTGCTGAGAGACCCACAGCTCCAACAAGACAACTTACAATTTCTTACTTAAAAACAAACATTTTCTCGTGAATAACTGAGTAATCAGGTTTCTAGGAAATGAGGCTTTTAGATTAAGATTTAGCAAAATCAACTATAATAAATTTCCTCCAGGCAATTTATGAATGACAAATCAGTTGAAGTTTTACATATGAAAGAAATAAATACTGCATAATATGTAGTGAATATTGGCACATACCCTTTTGTTTTTAAAGCATAAAATGCCATCAGCATATCTGCCGCTCGTAAGATACACGTATGACAGAGCTCAAAGCCACCGCTGGGCGGCGCGGGAACTGCCCGCTCAGGGCTTCCCGAGAGGCTTGTAGCAGGCGTCAGGCTGCCAGAGGCGAATGTCCACAAGGACTTGATTGAGCTTCTGCATCCAGAGGTCCCGCTCCTCCTTGGTGTCTGCGGACAGCCAGTGCCTGCGGGAGCAAACCAGCAGCTGCTCAGAGCTCCTCCGCCCCTTCCACATCGCCCCGCACCCTTACGTGGGGGGAAAGCCTCAACGAACCGGTAAAATGAGTTCCTCTGCACCCTCTGTAAATGGATGCTAATTGAGAGCCCCATAGGGAGATGCTTCAAGTACAATTTTTAAAATGAGAAACATTTAATTTAGATAAAAGGCCCTGTGTAGAAATAGTTAAGTGAGACAAAGGAGAATGCAGAACGATAAAATGTTTATATTTTAACAAAATGTATGATCCAAACAGTTTTGAGAAGCCACCAAGAAGTGAGAGCCCTCCAGTCTCAAATGCGTGAGTAACGAAGGGTCTGCTCAAATCACAATCCTATCTAATAAAAGGCTAATATGCAAATCGACTGAACAGCGGAATGACTGGTTGCTATGATGCGCACTGACCACCAGGGGGCAGACGCTCAATGCAGGAGCTGCCCCCTGGTAGTCAGTGTGCTCCCACAAGGGGGAGCGCCACTTAGCCAGAAGCCAGGCTCAGGGCTGGCGAGCACAGCAGCAGTGGTGGGAGCCTCTCCTGCCTCCGCAGCAGCAGCGCTAAGGACCTCTCGGGGGATGTCCGACTGCCGGCTTAGGCCCGTTCCCTGTGGGGAGCAGGCCTAAGCCGGCAGGCGGACATTGCCTGAGGGGTCCCGGACTGCAAGAGGCGCAGACCAGGCTGAGGGATCCCTCCCCCGACCCAGTGCACAAATGTCGTACACTAGGCCTCTAGTGATGTTATAATGAGAAAAACAAAGAAAGTACAGTCGTGGGAGTCACATGGGATCTGGCTATTTCTACTGCAGGAGAAGGTCAAGGAGAAGGTCAGGAAGAAGTCTGGGAGGGCTTGTTAGTAGGTAAAGGTAAGACTATATGAAAAAGGGTTAACATAGGCTGCTGTGGTCAGGAACCACTTGGGTACTGAATTTTGGCTGGTTCCCCCACTGACTATGGCCCTGGACAAACGACCGTAAACCAACTGTGCCCCCCGTCCTGTCCTGTCCTGTCTTATGCTGCAGAGAAGCCCCCAAAGGAAAGGAGGGGAGGAGTTCCACTGAGTTAATCTGAGGTAATCTAGACACCAAGAATCTCCAGGGAACAGATCCCCTCCCTGAGCCATTTTTAAGTTCCACATCAGAAACCCCTGGAGCAGCTCCATCCACCCCTGTCTGCAATGCCCAGCTATAGCCTCATTAATAGACTGTGTCAAACTCGAACTTTTGTCCCTAATCACAACGGTATATGTTGAAGTTGGCTTTAGGCTTCTCTTGGGCATCCAAGCAAAAGAATCTTAGACTCTTAACAATAAGCTTTTGCACCTTATACCTAAGGTTTGGCCTATCAGAAAGTGACTCCCAATAGTTCATTCTGTTCACTTCCAACCAGAACTTGGCAGAGCAGAATGGCTGCTTTTGTAAGTCACCTAATTCATAAGGGCACTTTGGAATGGAAAGGAAGGGGTGTGTAAAGGCTCTTCAAATAATATTTGGCTTCCCCATTATACATGAACTCTTCAAACTTAACCCAAAGTATATCAGCTAACTGCCCTGAAAATGGCTACACTGTGAGAACACTGAAAGCATGATTAGCTAAGATATAACCTGAACTAGATTTGTGCACCAGTGGGGTCCCTCGGCCTGGCCTACACCCTCTGGCAATCCAGGACCCCTCGGGGGATGTCAGAGAGCCAGTTTAGGCCCGATATCCACAGGCCAGCCTGAGGGACCCCACCGGTCCACAACTGGGGTCAGGGAGGGACCGTGGGAGGGCTCCAGGGCATGTCCAGCCTATCTAGCCCAGATCCAATGGGCCGGACCTCAGCAGCAAACTAACCTACCGGTCAGAGCGTCTCCCCACTGGTGGTCAGTGTGTGTTATAGCAACTGGTCGAATGGTCAGACACTTAGCATATTAGGCTTTTATTATATATAGTATGGTAAGCTTTTCTTCACTAGACTAATTTAGTTATTAGATTGTTCACTTACTATGTGTGTTTTGTGTTCTTATTAAGCCTGTACCCCCCTAAAGACAGGGATGACCCTGATATTCCTTACACTGTAAGAGCATATGGGCAGTTAGTTCCTGTGTTGGCAGAACTATCTGCAGCCCAATACTTACTTGGTGACACAGAGTGTGTCCCTGCACTGGCTGACAAGCGTCTCTCGGTCATCTTCTCTTTGTGGTCGGACAGTAATTAATTCAAAAGTGTTGCATCTTGTGCAAAATTCTGTTGGCTGGTTCTATCTGACAACTGGTACAATTGGCCAGATTTATCCTTCCTATGGGATTCTTTAAAAATAAAATTTTTTAAAAAGGATTAGCAGAAGGTAAACAAGACCATTTAAGTCAGCATTATGCAGTATTTAAGTTTTTATAAATTGAAAAAGCCACATGGCTATAATAATACTAAAGTAAATTTAATATTTTTTTTACTAAAAATTTCAATTAAAAATATTATAAAACATTTAGGAAGAAAGACAAATATATGCCTTAAAGTATTTTAAGAGTGGTCAAATCACAGGGAATGAATAAAATATAAAATTTCTGCGCATGCGTGCACACACACACACACACCACACACACATTTTGCAACAAGCACGTTTTCGATGGCCTAGTAAACAGGCTCCCAGGGGAGCGGGTGGTGAAGGCCTGAGGGAGCACTTAGTGAAACAGCATGTCAAGGGGCCTTCCCACCGACCTGCACCCTCAGCCTTACCTTCCGTTTCTCGTCATCGGGGTAAGTCCAGTAGGAGATACAGTTTCCAGACAGAATACACCATCTTCGATGCCACGCACCAAACCCACTCACATCTTCAAATATGGTCTGGAAAAGTCAGGGAGATCTTGGCTTAATCACTTGGGGACCAGTTAAATGTTAATCCCACTGGCTCAATGTCACAGTATGTTGGAATATGTCCTGCTTCCATCCTGTCTCATCCTCAGTGGTGAGAATCACTGGCTGCTCACACCCAGACATGTGCCCAGATTTTCAGTAGCATCAACAGGCATCAGCACTTAGAACCTCTGCGTATTAACCCCTCTACCTAATATCAGACTTTCTAAAAGCATGGTATCCCTGACCAAACTCTCCTTAAATAAGAGAAAAGTACTTCAAGTGTTGGAGAGTAAAGTGATTTGAGAATGTCATGCCTTATATATTGAAAAAAACAATTAGACTTAATGCAAAAGACTGGCATTTAATTTCTATTTGATACAACAAAACAGGACTGGAAAAGAGGCAAACAGGCAACTAGTAACACGGGGGCTTTTCCATGGAAGAGCTTCTACTCACACAGTGTAAGTAGGAGCTGCTTCCCCCACACCCACTGTTTCTTAGCCGTAATGGAGCCCTAATGTATGCAAGTCCTTCCTATTAATTTAAGAAAAGAATCCATTTAGACACTATTATATTAAGAAACAGAGCAAGGCGAAAACGCCCCAGCGCCCTAGTCAGGGGTGGGCAGGCTTTCTCTGTGAAGGGCAGAGAGTAGAGACTTGGATTGTGTGGCTCCTTCATGACCATTCATCTGGCCGCTGCTGCAGTGCAAAGCGCCCACAGACAACATGGAGACCAATGAGCCTGAGTTCTAATGGAACTTTATGAAAACAAACAGGGGGCATCTCTGCTGGCCCTAATGTAGGTAATCCAAAGGTATCTTTGTGATTTCAAAATGCACTAAGAATTCTCCACCTTAAAGTGGTTCAACGAAGCCCTACACCAAACAACAGTGGGAGAGAGAGCCTCCTCCATCCACAAATTTATGTAATTTTACCAAAAGGTGGCTTGAGTTAGCAGTGCAATCTCTGGCCCTGGAGGGAAATTACTCTGTGTGAAGAAATGTCTCCATGATAGAATAAAACCTCACATTTATTAGCTTAATTAATTAGCTCACACTCATTAGCTGACTCCAACCATATGCTCTCTTACTCCACCTTTATTTCTTTTCCCCAGTTTACCCTCTCTCCTCCCCAAGGCCTGGTTTCTCTAGGCAACACCTGCACACAGCCACCCAAGGGAATAAGACAAGAATCTTATTTCAGCCTCATGGACAGAGCTAGCACGACTGACTCACTAGCGCCCTCCTGTGTTTCTGCTCACCTTTCACATCATAAAGGTAATGGGGACATTAGACGGAGAAGAATAACAGTTGTCACTATGCTCTACTCTAATCAGAGAGGAATGACAAGGGGACAGCTTCTCCTTTTATAGCTGAGAAAACTAAGGGCCAAGGAAAGCCAATGACAACACCATCACAACGCAGACCACAGACCAGGGACCTTCTAGACATCCAGAGTGTTCGTCCCTTGCTGCTCATCAGTCTAGACCCATGGTCGGCAAACTGCGGCTCACGAGCCACATGCGGCTCTTTGGCCCCTTGAGTGCGGTTCTTCCTAAGCCTTAGGAGTACCCTAATTAAGTTAATAAGAATGTACCTACCTATATAGTTTAAGTTTAAAAAATTTGGCTCTCAAAAGAAATTTCAATCTGTTGACTAATGAGTTTGCCGACCACTGGAGACGGAGCTGGAGGAGCACCATAGAACCACTTATCAAGGCTCTTTGGATGGTCATTACTTTCCTTCTAGCTGTCAGGAAGGGAAACTGAACACCTCAAATTTCAAGTAACTTATTTTTTTAAAATATATTTTTATTGATTTCAGAGAGTAAGGGAGAGGGAAAGAGATAGAAACATCAATGATGAGAGAGAATCATTGGTCGTCTGCCTCCTGCACGCCCCCCACTGGGGATCAAGCCCACAACCCGGGCATGTGCCCTGACCTGGCATGTACTGTGACCTCCTGATTCATAGGTCGATGCTCAACCACTGAGCCACAGAGGTAATTAAAATGCATTGATTAGACAGGGACAGAAGTTATCTGGGAGAGTGCAGAGCCCTTTCTGTGAGGATAAGCCTGAGGAGAGGTAACAAACTAGTTAAGAGCTCAGGCATTATATGTAAATGAACTAGCTGCTGGGTCCATCCGTCACCGTTAGTAGGAGACTGGATAACGGTGTCTCTAATACAATATGGAAATATTTACATTAAAAGGTCAGTAAGTAAACACTGCCTTCAACCCAGGGATTTAGAGACAGGCTTTTCCAAGACTATCTAGTGCCACCTGCTGGATGTGCACGAGAGAAAAGCTAGCAGGGAAGCCAGGTTTACCATCCACTTGGCCACGTGGGCTTGCCGGGCAACCCGGCTCCTCTTACTGCACCTTTCACAGCCACTGCGAATGCTTTGTCTCATTCGGGTTCTTGCTTCACAGAGGAAACTGAAGCTACTGGACTTTCCCTACTTCTGGCACCACACCCACCTTCATCCACATATTCTTCACACATACGTTTCTCCTCTGATAACTGAAAAAATATAATTCTGTACAAAATCAGTCCTGTGACCGTGTACTGTGGTTTGGGTCTGATTTCATCTCACTCTCATGATCTTATTTATCCCAGGAATTCTTCCTGAACTGCCTCAATCTCCAACCCTATTAAAAGCTACCCATTGTATCTGAAGACTCAAGTTGAGCCTAATAAGATGTCAACGAAATCCTTCTTTTATCCTAAAGATCCTGTCAAGTACCACATACTTCTCACCCACCTGCAGCCAAACTCTGTTTCAAGGAGCTGCTCGCACTCCCATTCCTCACGTACACTCCCTTACCGCCAGTTTATTAACGTGCACGCACTCTGTGCTTTTGACCTTGATAGCATTGTATCGTATTTACTGTCCACTTGTCCTTCTACCAGCTAAACTAAAAGTTCCTGAGCAGAGGAACTTTTGTGGCCTAGTACATTCCCACACCAGCACAGTCACTGGCATGTAATGGACATGCAGGGAATCTTTACTCAACCAATTTACCACTGAATCACACAGGCTTTCTTACCTACGAGAAATCCAAGTCTAACCTTCACAAAACAGAAAAAAAGAAAATACATATAAATTACTTACTAGAAAACCTTTTTCTTCAACACTTGAATTCACTTGACATTTTATTTTTAAATAAATATGACCTTCCAAAGGAGATAAAAAGGGCACCTGCGAAGAAAGACAGTAAATTATTTGCAAAACACTTTCAAACTGGCATTTTTCTTGATAAGAGTTTCATCATGAACAGAGAATATTGTGCCTTGAAAACACACTATTTTCTAAAGCGGGAATATAAACTAAGTGGCCAAAAAGCCACTGGTTCCTCAGCAACAAGTGCTTTTGAAGAATAAGCACATTCAAATTAGAGCTGGTAAAAACAAAACCCTTAACATGATCAAGAAAACACAGATATAAGGAGAGAATACAAGTGCTTGTCCATTCTCCATCAATATATTCAATAGGAGACTGGATAAACCAACTGGTACAGTAATACAACAAAATATTACTCAGAAGTAAATAACAGTGAACTACAGATTTAAAAAGTTGATCCTCAAATTCATATGAAATTGCAAGAGGTCCCAAACAAGCAAAACAATCTTAAAAGAAAAACAAAGCTGGAAGAACCATACTTCCCAATTGCAAAACTTAATCCAAAGCTACCATAACCACAACAGTGTGGTATTGGCATAAGAATAGACGTATAGACAAGAACAGAACTGAAAGTTCAGAAATAAACCCATACATCTTATAGCCAATTGATTTTCAATAGGGTACCAAAACCATTCAATAAAGAAAGAGCAATCTTTTCACAAATGGGGTTGTGAAACTGGATATCCACATGCAAAAGAATGAAGCTGGATCCCTACCTCAAAAATTAACTCAAAATGAATCAATGACCTACGTATGAGAGCTACAAATAAAATCTTAAGTCTTAGAAAAAAACATAAAGGTAAATATTAAATAATCATGAATTTGGAAACATTCTCAGATATGAGATCAAATGCAGGAGCAACAACAGAAAAAAAAACACAGAGAAATTAGGCTTCATCAAAATTCAAAACTTTCCAGTATGTAGATTCCTCAAAAAATTAAAGATAGAAATAACATATAATCGAACAATCCCACTTCTGGAAATTTATCCAAAAGAATTGAAATCGGGTCCTGAAAGGGATATTTGCACTCCCAGGTTCATTGTAGCATCTTCATAATACCCTAGAGGTGAAACAACCTAAATGTCCATCAACAGATGAACGGATACTGGAAATGTGATGCAGTCTTCTCCTTCCTCTCCATTTCTGAGTATAAAAACTAATCTGAAGTTTGTCTTTTAGGCTTTAAAACTCCTCTGTGCATCTTTTCTTATGTGTCCTAACCCACAGCCCTACATAGCAGATTCATGAGGTTGACCATTGTGTCTTTTTATTGGCTGTTCCCATATCCTACTGTCAAATCATACCCAGGCATTCAATAAATGTTTGCTAAAAGAACACTGTTTGGGCAAATAAATACCCAGAGTTCTTTACTGAAAAAAATAAAAAATAAATATGGTATATAGATACAATGGAAATATTATTTAGCCATAAAAAAGGAAATTCTGTCAGATGCTATAATATGGATGAGCCTTGAGTACATTATGCTAAGTGAAATAAGCCAGTCACAGAAGGACAAATACTTCTGGTTCCACGTATATACCTGGAAGTATATACCACGTATATACCATGTATATACCTGAAGTAGCCAAGCTCATAGACGCAGAAAGTAGACTAGGTATTGCAGGGACAATTTAAAAAACAAAACAAGCCATAAGCCAGATTTAACCTGTAGGCTAAAAGTTTGCCTGGTGTTGTGGTAGACTAAGCCCTACTATATTGGTATTGCATTAAATATAAATGGGCTAAACACCCCAATGAAAAGACAAAAGATTGTCACACCAAATAACAAAATATGACCATAAAATACGTTTATACACAAATTTGACATATATAGTCACAGATGTATTGAGAATAAAGGAAGGAAAAAGATATAACATACAAACACTAATCATGAGAAAGCTGTTATAGCTATTAATTGCAGATAAAATAGACTTTAAGATTATCAGAGATAAAGTGAATAATTCATCAAGATGATATAATAACCTTAAATGTTCACGGACCTAATAATGTAGCTTTAAAATACAGGAAACATAAATTGACAAAACAAGAATTAAGTGCCTAAATTGAGACTATGTTGTTCTTACTGATTGGAATTTGGGGGGACTGATTTTTTTCCAAATAAAATCATGCTTTTATCTAGCATGGAAAACATTCACACAATAGAGTATACAGATGTCATATATAAAGTTGTATACCTGAAATCTATGTTATTAACCAATGTTACCCCAATAAATTTACTAAAAAATTTTTAAAGTAAACATTCACATAAATATTTGTAAATGTATCATTCTTATCAACATATTACTAGTTAGACATTTCATGTCAAAAGTATCTTAAATTATAAAAGCTGCTTAAGTATATGTAAGAATTTTAAAAGATTTAGAATTTAAAGATTATAACAAACATGAGAAATTCAATTGGAGAGGTTGAGTCATTAGAGTAAAATGGTTAACATACATATATTTATTGATACTGACTTCTGGTCAAGAAAGAATGATGTTAATGTCTGTCATTCCTGCTGTCCAGTGAAAAAGAATGATCTCCTAGTTGGAATAATCTTAGTTCAGTCTAAATAATTTTTTTAAATAAGAGAATGGAAGGGAAGGGGAGAGACAGAGAGAGAAACATCAATGTGAGAGAGACAAGGGATCAAGCCTGCAACCGAGGTATGTGCCCTTGATTAGAATCGAGCCTGGGACCCTTCAGTCTGTGGGCTAACACTCTAACCACTGAGCCAAACCAACTAGGGCACAGTCTAAATTTTAAAGTTTTAATTGTAAGGTTAGTTTCCAACAATTTAATCTTCTCTTGGCCAAAAAGTATAGATTTCAACAGATTAATTCCATTAGACAAACCTCAAAGTTTCTGGATTTAAAAGGGAACCATAATGTACAATCAAAACACCACCTATCTCATTATTTTATTTGTTATAAATTCCCTTGCCTTTTTCTTTTCCATATAGTCAGTTTTAAGTTCCTTAGCCTCTCAATGCTAAAAAAGAGAATTCCATTGTTTTGCAGAATGCTGCTGGTAAAAAGAATCTCAGAAAGATAAAAAGAAAATGGTCCCTCTAACTCCACAACTGTGAAGTACACAATGTTCTTGATTAGAAGCTTGCTCTGAAAAAGTGAACTGAGAATATTCACAAAAGAGTCGATGTTACTACCCCGTTGAGTTTGGAGAGATGAAAATGTATGAGCCTATTCTGTTTTCTTTTGAACAAAAGGGTATTTTAAGAACACTGTTAAGAACTGTAAAATGAACCTATAACCAGGACAACTGTGTAATCTTTACACACTGGGATATTTCTGAGAGAGAAAGGGATACCATTAATCATTACACCAGGCCAAAGGCATAAACCAGAACACCTCTGTGCACACCAGAACCCTAACCACTCTTCCTGTGACCTCAAAATTCTACAATGCTAATTGGTTGCCCTAAAGCCATTTAAATTGACATCCCTGTGTCCTGGAAAGCAGAAATATCTATGAGGTTTCTTTAAGTCAGAAGATGAGCTGTGGGATGTCCGTCTCTCTTTATCCAAAACATGTAATAAAACCTGAGTATTTTTTTAAAACAACAAAAAATCTATGACTATTTTGGAATGGTTATTCAAAGAAAAGAAAGTCCTTGAGAATCTGTGACTCATTGAGATTCATAATTTGAATTCCAGGATGTCAGACTTTACATCAGGTATCTGTAACCTCAAATAAGAAGGTAATCTCCTGTTAGTGGTGCCCTAAATCTCTAGAGCAAACATTCTGGATTAACCTCAAAGGTCATTCTATTCTGAAGGGATCTCAGGGATAGCTGTTGCATTACTGGTCAAAGCACCAGTAAAATAGGCCAACACTCCCTTGTACCGATAGTATCTGGTAAGATATGGGACACTTGTTTACTCTCTCAAAGTTAATTAAATAGAATAATTATATGAGTATAAAAGGTCTTCCATTTTCCCCACCAATTTAAAGAACACCTAAACATAACTATTTTAAATATTCTTTTATATCAACTACAAACAATTGGAACAACTATTTGCTTTCTCCTGGCACTCACAAAAGTACATTTGGGACAAACCTGACATCAAAATTGTGTTGTATATGAAAGAGACTTTAGAGTACTAGAGACAACCAATTAAATAAAATGATTTTGCACTCAATCACATGGTTGCCTATTTAAGTTATAAATTCAAAAGAATTAAGAGAACAGAAATATTTTGTGACATTTTGAATTAAAATGTCAGACAAAAAAATTTCAAAAAGCAAACATTCTATATTTAACGTGTTACTGAAATCCCTCCATTTTTAGAGATTAATGAAATCGCTTACACATGTAGAAATTGGCTTTGTTACAGACAACAGCGAGTAAGGAATACAGTTCACAGAATCCCAGTTCTTACGTTTAATCTGCAAATCTAGTTCTAACAATAAATAAAATAAACTAATACTGTCCAGCATTTTATAAATTAACATTTCTAAATATTCACAAATTGCTTGCAATTGAACTTCAAAAGGATATTAAAAATCTTTTTAAAAATCTAAAATATATGCTTATTCTTAGTATAATTTTAATGTTAAATTCATTTTAATTTAAAAATTAAAAACAAAATATCATCTACATGGCAATATGCCTATAGCCAATTGTGACCAAATAAGTTTTCTACTGAAAGCATCACCAATAGCTCTTTCAATATATGGGAGGTAAACAATCTTGAATAAATTTAATTTGTTATTTTAGTACCCAGAAAATCAATATTGAAGTGACTACAGAATCTGAACAAATTAAAACATGAAAAAAGAAATAGGAGGAAAGCCAACACCAAATATGCATGAAGAAAACAGAGAGCAAAGTAAAGATGCCCAACTGCAAGAGACTAAAGAAAGAATGTATATAATGTCCTTAATTATTCAAAATAACCAAGAAGGCAGAAGAGTGGTTAGTGAAACAAATACATATAGGCCAAAACTTAAGGTTTGATTTTTTTAGCTTGTTAGTTTCAAGCAAAGAAAAAATTGCAACCTTTTCCTGGAACAAATAGCCCAGTAGCTCTCGCTCTTTTACATCATAATTTATCTAAAACAAACAAAATAAAAGACAAAGAGAAAAAAAAATCCAGGATCACTCAATTTGTTAAACTAGCTGAATTGCTAAGTAAAAAGGTACAGGAATCTTTTAAATTAACATGTTAAAAAATACACTTATGCATTAATAATAATCAAAATTTCAAATATAGTCTGTCAACTACAAGAAAGATTTCATGGAATTCTAAAGCTATGAGAAATGAAGTGCCTTTGCTCAATGTTAAAGAGGAAATTCCTAGCAGGGCCAACACTAACTAGGCCTCCTAATGTGTAATACTTCACCTCTACATTCTAACTACAAAAATCTCTTATAATATTTAAAAATTCCCCTGTGTTATGAAGCAGGGGTCAACCCAAGAATTAAAGTTTGCTTCTAGTTCTCATTCTTTAAAATGGTCTTGTTAGTTATTAGAAGTTTAATCATATCACAGTATGGTGAAAAGCACTCAGTGATATTACACAGATCTGAATGCTGATGCTTTAAACCTGGGGAGGAAAGTGTGGGAAGGAAACACTTTAGATTCATGGATACTTGTCTAAGAAATTAACCTAATTTTCCCTATCTTGTCAAAACTAAAACTACTATTCATTTCGAAATATGGGTTCCAATGGGCAAGTGACTATGTTTAAAACTATAAGCTTAACATCTAAGAGCAAAAAGTAATACTTCCAGTTAATAAAAATAGTCATGGGGCCCTAGCTGGTTAGGCTCAGTGGATAGAGTGTTGGCCTGCGGACTGAAGGGTCCCAGGTTCCATTCCAGTCAAGGCACATGCCTGGGTTGTGGGCTCGATCCCCAGTAGGGGGCGTGCAGGAGGCAGCCGATCAATGATTCTCTCTCATCATTGATGTTTCTCTCTCTCTCTCTCCCTCCCTCTCCCTCTCCCTCCCTCTCCCTTCCTCTCTGAAATAAATAAAGATATATTTAAAAAATAATAAAATAAAAATAGTCACAGGGATGTAATGTACAGCACAGGGAATATTGTAATATTGTAATAACTATGTATGGCTTCAGATGGGTACTGGACTTATCAGGAATCACTTCATTAGGTATATAAATGTCTAATTGCTATGTTATACACCTGAAACTAACATAATATTGTACATCAACTGTAATTGAAAAATAAATTTTTAAAAAAGTAATACTTCTTTAATCAGAACTGACATTTAGAATAAATCAGCATGAAGTACTTTCAGGATTTAACTGTTAAGATACAAGGGAGAAATGTTGCCAACATCAAAAAATATATCATGTAGGTACAAGAATGCCTCATTAAAATGTACAATTCTAAGAACATACATTTTCAGTCAAAGATTTTAATAGTTGAAAGTACTGGGGCATTTCCACTGACCTAATTTTTCTAAAAACAAACAAATAAATTCAGGTTACCTTGTCCAGAGCAAACTTAGTGTTTCCTACTGAAGACAAGAACAGCATGTAAGATCCAACAAGGATAAAGTTGCTGGTGCGCACAGCATGGAGACCGCCCGGGCTGGCCATCACTGGAGAGAAAGGGGCTGGGGCTTAGTTCGGAGTGACTTCCCTAAGTGTAAATCACTCCTCACCTCACCCCGACAGAATGCCATTAACCTGCCACAGAGAAAACTGCATTTTCCTCCATCTCCAAATAGGAAGGGAAAATATCAAACTTGCTAGTGACAGCAAACTGTTACGTATTTTATATTTAACTATAGTAGAGTTTAGGCACCTCTGAATATTTGGGACTGATAGGTTTTTAAAGATACCGAACCTCAAAATGTGCACATAAAATGCATGGGAATGAGAGAGAAGACTCCATTGCCATAGTCTAGGTGGCATACTTAGCAGCACAGATGATGCTGCACAGTGCTTCTTAGTTACTCTGTACCAAGAAGAGACCAAAAGCCCAAAGGAGGTGAGTGAAACCAGCTCAACCCTAATCCCTGCCTAAAGCCATTCTACAAGGTCCTACGGGTACCCCAGTTCCCACTGTGCTAGGAAGATGCTTTTCTGACAAGATTCAATGCCAGTCATGGTCAGCAAAGCTAACAGAGGTCAACTCCAGTGTTGGCAGCCATAGCAAATCTGCAAGGCAGCATAAGCCAGGGACGGGCATTGCTGCTGCTGTAAGGGTCACGTGACCGGCCTCCTGGACACTGCTGCCAGGGCCTGAGAGATGTGTGGCATCTGACAATGGCGACCGGACAGTAATCTCCCGTGGCACTAAACCACGTAGAAAATGCCTTTCCAAGGAGACTATGCTAAACACCCATAAACCGAGAGGGCTGCACATGCGATTATGCAATTGCGTGGTTCTCTTCCTTATTCTAGTGTTTCAAACAGTTCAAGATCCACTCACCTGAAGAATGAAGACTGCTTTTCTAAAAAAGGGTGTGAAGAAGAAACAAGTTATTTTCTTTATTAGATAAAAGATTTGAATATTAAATACAAAACTCTTTAACACTGCAAGAACATTTCAGAACACATTTTTTTTCTACATAATTATGAGATTTTCCCCCCCAGTAATATATTTTAAAGACTTCCAAACTGCTAAGGGTTTAGAAATATTTACAATCATATGTGTAACATGAAGATTTCACAAGGAGGCTCAATTTTTTAAAAATTCCACTTACTGTAGTTATAGATGTGAGAAGTCGCTTTGGAGTGATAGCCTAAAAGAAAACATATCAGAATATTTTCTATTAAACATTATGATTTAGAGTTTTAAAATAACCAATCTTAAGACACTCCCACATAGAAAATAATTCTTAAATATGAATATACTTGAGTCTTCTATTAAGGTATTAGCCATACTGTCACTCTTTCTCTGTTAATGCTAAATAAAATTCTTTTAAATGATGGCTTGAAAAAGAACAGAAGAGCAAAGAGCAGGAAGAATGAGAAGCCAGCTGGAGTCCTGTCCCCACACCTCTCCTAAGCCCTGGTGCAGAGGATGTAGAGACCAGACTCCAGGGAAGGCTGGGGAAGACAAAGGGGTAATACAAGTAAGCTGTCAAAGAACAGAGAGAACAGAATCATCAAGCCGAGTGCATGAGGAGCTATACTTAGGATTATAAGTTTATGTCAGTGTTCATACCTATGAAATGCAGTACCTGAAATCTGGGGCATAAAAATTGTCCAAAAACTTGATAATCATTAAAAATTATACATATGGAAACTGGTACAGTATCTATGGTTTCTGATTATTATAATTTGCTGGGTTTCTTTCATCCTCACCTTGGATTTGTATGCCTTTTTCTTCTTATCTGGCACTGAGGAATCTTTCTTTTGCACCTAATACACAAATCCAAAGCATAATTAGTTTAAATCTGTTATCTTTAAGACAACATACTAGTAGTTATTTTAGAGAGTTTTAACTGCTTACCAAGCTGTAAACTTCAATACTGATTTCAAAGTCATTGGACACATCTTCCCTGAAAACACAAAGCATTAAAACTATAACAAAAATACCAAGTTATGGCCCAGGATGATGCCACCATACTGTTAAAAGACTCAGAGCGAAAGAATTCACTGTGTTTCAACTAATGACAATAGCTATCAACCACTTAAGAATATAAAATTGGTAAGAGCAGTCAATTTTTTCAAATATTTTCTTCAATAGTTTACAACTCAAGATCTTCAATAATGGTAATTTTTTTCAAACTTAATTTTGACTTGTTTCAAAATAAGTCTGTGACACTAAATATGTTCTTTCACTGAGATTGAATATTAAGTATGTAATGAGATTTAAAACATACATAAAAATTATGATCAATATTTTTATATGCATATGCATATCTACACACATACACATTTTAAAATACTTCAAAATGTTAAATACCTATAGTCACGTGGAAGCAACATGCTACTCAATGGAAAGAAATGTCAGAAACAGAAGAGTTAAACCAACAAATTGGAAACTGAGTTATGTGTCCACATAAAAAGACTGACCATTCTGCACTTCACAGGCTATAAGCCCACCTGTGTGCTTAGGCTGTATTAACTACTGAAGGGACAGGTGAGCCGCCAACCGCCTGATGTACTCACAGAGTGTACGTGGTGGAGAACGTCAGGGCATCGCCATTCAGAGAAGTGGTAGTGCTTGCCAGCGGGGTGGCCACCATGTTCTCGGCTCCTGCCTTCAGTATGATCAGGAAGGAGTAAGTTGCTGCGTCTGCAGGAAGGAATCACATTACAGAATCAGATCAAGCAGAATCGGATTTAGGTAATGAGCATTCTGGAAGACCAGAGGAATAAAGGAATACTGCACTGACTTACATAAAATTCATTGAAAATTTTCTAAAATCAACTTTCCAGACACAAAGGTAAGTAAGACATAAGCAGATGATCATAATGCTAGAGTAAGCCTCATCACGGGCTCTCCCACTATGGGAATTACAATAAGTTCACACCTCTCAAATTCTGCTGGCTTCGCGTTTTACCTAGTGACCTCTAGTTCTTGAGCTAATAGTATACAACCCAATGGTATGTACCCGAGTATGCATCTGAGCATGTACTACTATATTTCAAAACTGAGATCAAAATACTATAATTGTGAAAGCTCCTCAGAGATAAATTCTAATGAAAACATGAACTATTTCTTCACTGTCATTAAATAACCACAGATTTCAAGGTACACATTAAATGACCAACAGATTTCTGCCCACAGCCCATCAAAACAGGACAACAGCAAGAATTAGAACTGAGGTCACCTCTTTCCTACCAAAATGCTCAAACCTTGAAAGGTCCCCACTCTTTACTTTCCCCGCACTTCAAATTCGCTTCTCACCTAGTCTAGGTCTCCATTCTCTCAAAGAGAATGTCTCACACAAAAATTTAAAGAAAAGTTTACTTATTCAATCTAGAGGGGCAGAGGGAATAAAAGTTCAATACAAGTATGTCCATTGCGGGGCTCTTCACTCTCCCAAATGCTATAAATTCAGAATTTATAGAACAAATTTCTATAACGGGATGAATTTCACATAGAATGAAGTAAGTAAAATGAGTCATTTTAGATGCCTTAAATACTTTCCACAATAAAATTAATGAAACTGATTGCTATGTCATGATAACTCATCTCAGGAAAATGATGTATGTTCAAAATTATGTTTAACTAACCTTACTTTCAGTTAGAGCTTTGTCTGTTACTGTGTGGAACAGTGAGCTCCCATATGAACTGTCCTTGGTTATTTTTACACACATCTTCACAAAAGGATCTAAAGACTCAAGACACAAGCTTTGTAGCTTTGTATATGCTCTCCAATTGTTCCCATTTGCACAATTCCAAGCTAGGTGAGGTTCATAATCACACATAAGATCTAGAACGCAGGCAAGTAAAAACCTCCATACCTGGTTTCTGAACTGTGCTGCAGACAAAATCTGCCTTAAGAGGCAAACGGATTTCTGACAAAGTGACTGACCCTTTGGACGGGACAAATTCACTTTGGGAGAGGAGACCAGCCTTGTTCTTCCTCTGAGATCCTTCACTCTTCAGTTTATTCAGCTCATCAATCAAAAGCGTTCTCTTCTCAGCTATGTAAAACGATGCAAGTTAATATTTCAAATATTAAAAGTTGCAACTGTTTCTAAATGAGACCAATTATGTGGCAACAGTACAGAAGCCCAAAGATGAAATCAGTAACTTTCTTTATAGAAACAGGTGGTAGGTAGTTGGGAAAAACCTTAATTGGTCATCTGTTTACCAAGTTCCAATAATTTAATGCTTCAACTATTGGTCAGTTTTCTTATGTGATATCATCTTTCCACCATTCATCACCACACATACATACACACACACACACAACAAAATTCACACCCTTTTTTTAGCTACAGATAGATAGGTAGGTACAGAGAGAGTGTGGGGATGTAAATACTAGTATATCCATATATTCATTCTCAGCATACTCTGCACAACTGCATGCCTTCAAATGCTTTCCCGTTTCTTTTATCCTTTCATGCAAACTACATCTCATTTTGTGTGGCGGGTGTTCAAAGACGTTATCCAGAACAACAAAGTAGATGAACTGAACCAGGTTACCAGAAAAGGCCCTTTCTCTACAATTAGAGTGTCAGACGATTCAAGGTGAATTGAGTGTTTCCTGGCTGAACCTGCTGGGATTGCCTGGGTCTCACGCACTTGCGATCAGAAGCAGCCTTTCAGCCTCGGCTTCCTCCAGGGACCCCTTCCCGTGCTCCTCGTCCACACAGCAGTTCAGGGCCTGGCTGGCCTGGTAGATCACCGTTTGCTGCAGGTTGATTTCATTGTTGAGTTCCTGGTGAGACCCACAAGAGGAGAGAAAACCCACATTCTCAGTCACCACGTTCACTTACTGAAACTTGGGTTATAACCAATCTGATTCAATAATTTCCAAAATTTCCAGAAAGTCCAAATGTTAGTTTCACCATTCAAGTTTCTAGACTATGCACCAGGAACATTTAACATACTATAATAATTACACTATCAACATTCTTCCTGACAAAAAGACTTTCAACTCATACTTACTAAAATTATAATTGGGGCGGTGTCCAACAAAGTCACACCCTTTTTTAGCTACAGACAGATAGGTAGGTACAGAGAGAGAGTGTGGGGATGTGTGGGGATGTAAATATATTCATATATTCATTCTCAGCATACTCTGCACAACTACATGCCTTCAAATGCATCCCAATCTAGAGATATAGAGATTACCTGATTCATTTTATTTAAATTACATGTATGTGTGATTTTTAAATGTTTTCCTAGCGTAAAAGAACCTCTAAGAGCAAAATAAATTGCACATTTCACCATCATCTAATTTATAGTTACACTTTAAGGATATTTAGGACAAACATGTTTAAAAATAAATATTTCAATAATATCAAACAAGCTTCCAACTTTTCTAATAAAGAGAACCTTTCTCCAGTTAAACTGAACTCAAGAGGAGCTGCTGAGGTCAGGGTGTCAGGCGTCAGACACTGTCCCAGGCCCTCAGGGCCCAGAGATGGAAAGGCTGGGCCTCAAACCCCTTCCATGCAGTACACACCTGCATTTTCTGCTTGACGTTCACGTGACAAGGAAAGACGCTCTTTTCTTCAGCATTCCTTTTTCCCTCCAATTTTGAAGTAGCATCTTCCTTCCGAACAATCTGCTTAATTGAAGGACGGTCTGTTTCTTTGATTCTCTGAGATCTGTACGCATCGATGCTTCAAGAAACAGTTACACTGTGTTAGCAATCCAGCAACACACTAGTACTATGTTTTATTCAGCATTTCAGCAGAACACTTCACCAGAATGGGAAATGCCACTGGGCGAAAGAGAAGCTGACAGAAGTTATTACGAAGTTTTTTGCAAGTTAACTATTAGTAACATAATTACAAGGACTCCAACTTGTTGTATCAATTGAAACCATGAGCCTTAGTGAGTGAATGCCTCCCCCAAATGTTCTCACCTGTAAGGAAGGTCCCGGTCCTCAGAACCAAGGCTGTCACCAGACTCGGCCCGGGGGACACGGGTTCTCTGGAACTTTCCTGGTTTGGGACTCTCGTCATGTATGCTACTGCCCTTCAGTTCCAATCTAGGCGAGGAAGCGAAACTCTGCAGGGAAGCAGTGGGTATTAATAGGTTTTATGGATGCCACTGATTCTAAATAATTCTGAAGAACTGAATGAATTCGTCTCTATATGAGGAAAATAAATATCACACAAGTCAACTGATTCATCGTAAAAACAAAACAAACTAAACCAAGTTCCTAAAAAAATAAATACAAGTTGAAAGATAGCTAAAACCTACACTCATAACCCTCTTTAGAAACAGTTCTAATTGACTCAATTTCCAAACAAAGTTGCAGTTATTCAATATAGGGTGATGGCTAATAATACAGCTCGCTCTCACAAGAGCATTAAAGTCAGGTTTGCAGACTGTCCCTGGCCCCAGAGTTATAAATCCCCATGTACCCACCTAAACAAAAGGGGACCCCAATGCTATTTAGTTTCTTTATGTCCCGAGCCTGTCTCCTCTTTTCTTACCTCTGGACTTACCACGCCGACTGTCTGTGCCAGCGGAGCAAGCAGCGACATCGAGGAGATATTCAGGGCATCCTCCTGGTCCTCCCCGCTCTCAGCTCCCGCCTGGCCCATCTGCTCCGGGCTCCTGGCCACATCCAGCTCGCCCTCCTGCAGGACATCACTGAAGATGTCGTTAATCACTTTCGAACTATTGATGTCATCCTCGTCATCCACGCTCATCTCAATTTCACGTACCACTTCTGAAAAACATTTCAATAAGTGAACGCTGTGATCCAGACCTTTAAAAATCAGAGGGAGAGCAGAAAAGATCTAACATTCACATGCTTACTAATAAACAGGGGAAAGCCCTGAAGAAAAGCACCTCCTAAACAAAAAATAACAATAAAATTTACTAACATATGAAACCAAAATTATTTTCAAATTTCCAGTAATATTTTCTTACCAATAAAAGTGGAAATTATCAAAAGCTAACCCAATGCTTTGGGTGTGAGAAAGATTATTAAGTAAGAACTCAAGGTTAGAGCCAAGAGCTTCGGACGTATAAAACATGTTCTTTCAAAGGACTCTTCTCTGGTGGGAGCTGCCCGTGGAGGCGGCAGTCACTAACAGGAAACATGAGCGTCACCTAGGGCAGGATTCACAGGTGCCTCAGGGCCACTAGCTCCCTGACAGTCCATGGAAGTGCCAGGCAGTACACTCCCCGTCCTGTGCCAGGCGAGGGTAGGCTCGACCATGTTTTCACAGCGGTCCGTACCCTAAAGATAGCTGTTTCAGTGCTCTGTCTCTGTGGAGGCTAGAGTACTTCTTCGTAGTTAAAAGAGAGAGAGAGAATTATAAAATCACAAGCCACTTAGAAATATAGAACACTGGCCTGGATGGCGTGGCTCAGTGGTTGAGCATGGACCTATGAACCAGGAGGTCAAGGTTCGATTACTGGCCAGGCCACATGCCTGGATTGTGAGCTTGATTCCCAGTAGGGGGCATGCAGGAGGCAGCTGATCAATGAGTCTCTCTCTCAACATTGATGTTTCTATCTCTCCCTCTCCCTTCCTCTCTGAAATCAATTTTTAAAAAAACTTTCTTAAGAAATATAGAACAGCGTATAGTGGAATATGTGCTTCTACTATTATATTATTTCTCATAACATGTTCAGTGCTAGTAAGAAATAAAGAATAAAAACCAACCTGTCTGCTGCTCAACCTTTGGGTCTGATGTTACTTTTAAAGACTTTTCCTCTTCTAAAAACAGTGTTATTTTCAAAGGGCTAGACTTCGTCATTTCACATTCAGTGAAACCTAAAAAAGTTTTAGGGAAAACCATATGAATATTATAAGAACCCAGAAGTTTTTGTTTATAGAATCTTCTCTTTTTTTTTCTGATTACAAGACTGGATTTCAAATTTAGAAATGTACAGAGAATACCCCAAACACCTGCCCTCTCCTACGTCCCCATTTCTCTCTCCAAGAGGAAGGGACATCGATAGATCAGGTTATGTTTGCTCCTCCAGTTTCCCCCTACAGTGATCTATGTGAGTAGCCTTTTGTTTTATCAGCACGTGGTCACACTCTCATGCTGTTCTGCAATTTGTTTTTCAATTTTTTAAAAAAGTGCCGAAAAGAACACTTTAAAAGGGTGCAGGGTGGAGAGGGTCAATAGGGGAAATAAGGACACATCGGTAATACTTTCAGCAGTAAAGATACATTTAAAAAAATAAAAACAACTTAAAAAAACTAGCAACGGAAGGAAACGACCCCTCTCTATGAAAGCCCACAGCTAACACTGTCCTCTGTGAAGGACTGAAAGCTCTTCCTCCAAGATCAGGAACAAGACAAAGAAGCCACTCTCACCACTGCCAGTCAACAAAGCCTCAGAAGCCCCAGTCCAGCAGGGACACAGGGTTACATGGGTTAGCACAGTGTATTTAAAGCTCCTGCTGCCTGCCACTCAGGTCACTGAGTACCATTACCGCGGCTGCAATCACCTCTGCACACAGCACATCTCTGACTCTGGTCCCAAGGCTCCCACCTGCCCGCACTTGCAGAGAAGCCAAGGTAAAGAGCATGCACCCCTCCCAGCTTCAGACACTACAAGTGGCAGTGCTCACACTCCCGGCGAGAGGCTGCCTTCTCACTCTGGACGCAGAGCTGAGAGAAGCAGAGCACGGCCAGAAAGAAAGTGGTGGAAATGAAGGGGCGAATCGGCCTTTTCACACTAGAGCAGCGTTTCTGACTGCCAGCCCGTGTCCAGAGCTCCCGTAGTGAAGCAGGGAGGAGCGCTGACCTGCGGGCTCTGGGCTGGGGGGCTGTGCTGGAGTCTGCTTTCCTGCCACCTTTTCCTTTTCTGTTTCTGGACGTGACAGGATATTTGAAAAAACTTGATGTTTTCTGAGGGGAGTGTTCTGAGAGTGAATTTCCTGCAAAAAGCAAGTGAAAAGATACATTTTACTTCTCAAAACGATAGACTTTTGTCTTTTTATGTGTTACTAAGTGAAACAAACCACAGTCATTACTCTACATAAGCTTCCTCAGAACAAAACAGAACACGAGCCCTGGGCGCTAGTTCCCGTTCTGGAGATTCTCAGGATGTGAGTCACTGAGAGTAGGAGGCAAGGGAGAATGGAAATCTGCATCAGGTTTAGCTTCAGAGAAACCATTCAAGTGAAAGTCATGTGTGTGGAAAACAACTCCCCTGTGTCACTCATCACAGCCCACATCTGTAAAACTAGGGACGCCCTGGCCGGTTGCTCAGTGGTTATAGAGCGTCGGCCCGGAGCCTGAAGGGTCCCGGGTTTGATTCCAGTCAAGGGCACATACCTGGGTTGCAGGCTCGAGCCCCAGCCCTGACCAGGGGCACATGCAGGAGACAACCAATTGGTGAATCTCTTTCTCTGTCTCTCCCCCGTCCCTTCTACTCTCTCTAAAAATCATCGGGGGAAAGAAATACCCTTAGGTGAGGATTAACAAAAAACAACAATTAGGGACAGTTCCTACCTCCAGATTCCACTTACCAGTTACTCTGTGGGTAAAATGCAAAGAAAACAGCAAAGGACAAAAACAGATCATAAGAAAAGGAAAAAAGAGGTCTACCCAATGTGGCTCAGTTGTTGAGTGTCAACCCATGAACCAAAAGGTCACTGGATCGATTCCCAGTCAGGGCACATGCTCAGAGTGGTTGGTTCAATCCCAAGTGTGTGTGTTGGGAGGTGGGGGTGGG